CAACAAAGAAAATTTCCTTCCATAGATAAACCTTTCCTTAACTTTTACAATAACGTACTAATACAACATTTGTCCTTTTGTGATTGCCTTATTTCCCTCAGCATAATGTCCTCCAAGTTCATCCACGTTATGCAGTGTTTTGCAGATTCTACATTATTCTTTAGCGTTGCATAGTATTCCATTGCAACTACCATAGTTTAGTTATCCATTCCTCAGTTGATGGACACCTAGGTTGTTTCCATGTTTCGGCTATTGTAAATAGTGCTGCGACGAACATGGATGTGCATATATCTGTTCTTGTCATGGCTTTCACTTCTTTAGGATATGTACCTAATAATGGAATGGCTGGGTCAAATGGTATTTCCAATTCCAGCGTTTTAAGGAATTGCCGTACTGCTTTCCACGGTGGTTGTATCATTTTACAGTCCCACCAGCAGTGTAGGAGAGTCCCAATTTCTCCACATCCTCACCAACATTTGTTATTTTCTGTCCTGTTGAACTTTGCTGCTAGTGCTGAGGCAAGATGGTATCTCATTGTTATTTTGATTTGTGTCTCTCTAATGTCTAATGAGGAGCTCTGGTGGTGTAGTGCCTAAGGCACTTGACTGCTAACCAGAAGGCTGGCGGTTCAAACCTACCATCCAGTCTTTGGAAGGAAGGTGGACAATCTACTTCTGTAGTGTTACTGCCTTGGAAACCCAGGGAGGGGTCACTATGAGTAGGGTTCCACTCGATGGGACATAACGACAACAACAACAACAACAATGGCTAATGATCGTGAGCATTTCTTCATATGTTTGTTGGCTGCCTGAATATCCTACTTGGTGAAGTGTCTATTCATGTCTTCTGCTCATTTTTTAATTGGATTATTTGTCTTTTTGTTATTGAGGTATTGGAATTTTCCATAAATTCTAGAGATAAGTCCCTTGTCATTGCCAAATATTTTTTCCCAATTTGTTGGTTCTCTTTTTTTGACTCCTTTGGAGAAGTCTTTGGAAGCACATAAAAATTTAATTTTTAGAAGGTCCCATTCATCTGGTTTCTCTTCTGCTGTTTGTGCATTTTGTGTTGTACTTGATAGTCTATTTGTGCCATATATTAGGGCCCCTAAATTTGCCCCTAGTTTTTCCTTGAGGAACTTTATAGTTTTAGGTTTCACATTTAAGTCTTTGATCCATCTGGAGTTAATTTTTGTGTGTGGTGTGAGGTATAGATCTTGTTTCATTTTTCTGCAAGTGGATATCCAGTTTTGCCAGCACCATTTATTAAACAAACGTTCCCTTCCCCATTTAATGGATTTGGCCCTTTGTCGAAGATCAGCTGACCGTAGGTTGATGGATCTATTTCTGGGTCTCAATTTTATTCCATTGGTCTGTATGTCTGTCATTGTACCAATACTAGGCAGTTTTGACTATCAGTACCAGGCAATTTTGACTACTGTGGTTGTATAGTAGGTTTCAAGATCCAGCAGTGTGAGACCTCCTACTTTGTTCTTCTGCAATAGTGCTTTGCTTATCCAAGGTCTCTTTAAAGGAATCTTTTTAAAATCTTTTTTAACAAATCTTGCAAATCTAAAAATCCCCTTTCAGCTTTCCTGCCAAGAGCGGTTCTTAGCCTATGCTTAGAGAATTCTGTTGAATTTAATTTTTAGAATTAATGAGGAATGGCTTCTGGACTAATGTCAATGATTAACACAAAATCTGTATTTCAGTTTGTGTTTTTATTTCATTATCAGAATATATTGAAAAACATTTATATAAGAGGGGAGGGAATATAAATATACAGGCATACCTTAGAAATATATTGTTGGTTCAGTTCTAGACCATTGTAATAAGGTGAATGTCACAATAAACCAAGTCACATGAATCTTTTGGTTTCCCAGTACATATGAAAGTTATATTTACACTGTATTATAGTGTATTAAATTAAAGCAGCTCTGTGCCATAGTGCCTAAGGCATTTGGCTGCTAACCAGAAGATTGGCAGTTTAAACACACTAGCCACTCCATGGAAGGAAGATGGGGCTGTCTACTTCTGTAAAGATTTACCTCCTCAGAAACCCAATGGGGGTTACTATGAGTCTGATTTAACTCAATGGCAGTGAGTTTTTTTTTTTTTTTTTTTTTTGATAGTTTATTACTTCCATAATGATACTGCCTTGGAAACCCAAGGAGGGGTCACTATGAGTCGGGTCCGACTCTATGGCACATAACAACAACAGTGTATTAAGTGTGCAATAGCATTATGAAAAAGTTTGAAATGCTGTGTGAGAATTACCAAAATGTGACACAGAAACATGAAGTGGGCATATGCTGTTGGAAAATGGTGCCAGTAGTCTTGCTTGAAGGTTGTCACAAACCTTTAATTTGTATATAAAAAAAAAGCAATACCACAAAATGCAGTAAAGTGCAGTAAAATGAATTATGCTTGTATATGTATCTTTACACACACACACACACACATATCCATGTGTGTATAAATACACACAAATACATGTACAGCTCATTCTGTTGCAAAATGGCTTCTGGACTAATGTCAATGATTAACACAAAATCTGTATTTCAGTTTGTGGTGGTTAAGTTTGTGTGTCAACTTCGCTGGGCCTGGATGTGTGGCTGGGCAGCTGGTGGTAGTTACTCCC